ATATAAAGATGTTTGACCAAGGATTAATTGTGAATACGAAATGGAAAGTCTTGTGTGTCAGCAAAACTGCATCAAACTACAAGGCTTAAGACGCGTACAAGTAGAGGACTGATTAGTTCCACGGTCACATGACTCTTAAGATTCTGACCCTGTTCCCCTTAGACGCCAAATCACTGGATTAACACGTGTGCAGCTTTGTTGAAAGAGGACGACAACAAATCTGCTGAAAGTCGGCATAATTATAGCAACTTCAAGTAGGAAGACGACTGCTAAAAAGAAAGGGGTTAGCAGCAGGACGGTGCGCCGCACCGACGCTTCACTGCCAAGTGAGCACCACTGGTCGCCTATGGGCTGCGAGAATGCCCGAACCTACAAGGATTACAACCGATAGCCCTTTGGCCACATGCAAAGGATAGCTGGCGTCTCGCATCGAAGCTGGCGGTGGTTTTAATAAAAAGAAACGAAGATAACCTTCATAGTATACTTATTTTCGATGGGCATAAATCTGTCACAAAATACCTTACATCTCCAGTACTCGCTCACCGGTGAGTGCCGTGACAAAACAGTGGGAGAGTCGGGAGCTGCGCGTTTGGTTGGCGTCGACATGAAAGCGATTGGCAGCTTTTGATGCAAATTGTTCACCCTTGGAGAGTTAGGGGCAGAACTAACAGGCAAATGGGCTCGTTCATTGGACCTCAGATGTAAAATGGAGGCCAAATTAGAGCCAGGCATACGGTGATAATCACATCCGTAGGAAGAAGCAGAAGGCATAGTCAACATTTCCTTTGACAGATGTGGGAAATTGCAGACGATTGCGTCCAAAGATCGACTGATACACTCGTCTGACAGCATACCGGATACAATTGATGGCATATGAGGGGATTCCACGAAGCAAGGAAACCCAATAGCCCCGAACGGAGAAGTGTCACGAGTTGTGTTGTTAGGTGGAGTTGTTGCAACGTTTAGTAGATCCGGTAGCGGAACTGAAAAATGATACCAAAGCAGCGAAATTTAAAAGTCGCAAAAGAGAATCAGGAAAGCATTTGAAGTTCCTGCACTAGCATGCTTTATAATGCCTCATAGCTACTTCATCCGGTAGTTTTATATTTTGCACATCCTTAAGTTATACTGCGCAATAAAAAGATTTTTGTTTTCTATAAAAGAAATGCCAATGTCGCTATGTTATAGAATACACTCCACTTATCGCAAAAATGTATTCCAATTTTACCTACCACATCAGGTTACATTGTTATAAGCAAGTGATTATTTTCAGTAATACTAAGGCTTCGTCGTACGGATTAAATGTAAATGTACTGAATCACAGCATATACAGAATGCATCTATGTGGCAAATACGTTTAAAACATCACTGCAACACTCGCCGCTAACCACTGACTGCAGCTTGGCCCTGGGAAATGATGACTTCACCGAGATCGTCAATTGTATGATCCGGCGCCCTCAAACTGCAGAAATCAGCAAAAGCAGCCATCATAGAAGGCGTATACTTGCCACTGTAGCGCTGCTCCACGATTGAAATGTCTTGGTGAAAAGCGCTCACCATGCTCATCGCTAACAGATCCCAACTTCTCGGGGGAAAAATTAATGTGGTTACCTACAAAGTGAATCTTAAGTGACATTCGAGCACCAACAGCTATATAGCCTGCAAAGAGCATATTTGTGATGCCTTTGTAGTTCGCTGAGTTGGTTCTGCTTAAAATTCTGTGCACACTGCTTTGAATGATCGCCAAGCTTCTAGCTCAAATGAAAACTGGCATTCGAAGGCACTGTCTGCCATTATCCGGCGAATATCACGCCCAATAAGTATTCCTTCTTTGAGCTTCGCATCACTGATCTTCGGAAACACTTGTTTCAGATGCTGGAACGCAAAACCATCTCGCTTGAGGGCTTTGACGAAGTTTTTAATCAAACCAAGCTTGATGTGCATGGGTGGTAGATAGATATGATCAGGTTGCACATGAGGTGTATGCTTTAACCTCATTTCCTCTGTAGCATACTCTGTCCTCTCTGCCTGCTTTCCTGTTGTGTAGTGCTGTTTAGTTACTTTGCTGTCCCATAAGCACAAGAAACAGCAATATTTTGCGAAGCCTCCTTGCCTACCCATTAGGAGTCCAATGACTGAAGTCAGCACAGATGTTCCAACATTACTTATCGTAGTTCAGTGCAGTGAGTATCTGTTGTAGATTTTCGCAAGTCGCCTTCATATTTGTAGCATGTAACAGAGGCACAGTTGGGTACACATTTCCATTGTGGGACAGTATGGCCTTAAAACTACTTGGACGAATCAATGAACAAACGCCATTCATCACTGCAATGCCTGAAGCCAAGCTGCTTCATAAGTCCTTCAGGTCGCAACGGTAACAAAAGGTTTCTCTCATGACACAGAAACCGGTCAAGTTACCAAGTCGATATATATATATATATATGTATATGTATATGTATATGTATATGTATATATATATATATATATATATATATATATATATATATATATATACCTTAGCGTTTGTAGCAAGTCAGTGCCACTGCTGCAGCCGAAATGCCAACAACTCGGCTTTGTTTTTAGGCAAGCCTAGGTCATGCACCAAGTCATTCAGCTCTAATTGTTCAACAAGGTGTGGGTTGAGAACATGACGTTCAAAGTTTTCATGTCAGAATTAGGGGACGTTGACGATGCGGAACCATAAATCATCATCAGTGACATGTTCACTGGAGGCATTGGAATGGGCACGGTCGGATAGCTGATGGAAGAGCGGAATAATGAATTTTGTCCTTGTTTCGGCTGGAGATTCCAATGACGCTGGTTAAGCAGCAGTAGCAGTCAGTGGTCTGATCCTTTGGCTCGCTCCACACCACAGGGATTGCAAAGGGCATCTTGCCTTTGCGCATTAGCCACTGAGTCAGATGAAGATTGCACGACATACAAAGAATATGCAGCGCCCAGTTCTTATCTTGACCTCCCAGGTTCATCGCGAAACATACGTGGTAGGCAGACTTCAGCAGTAAAGAAATGGGTCTGGACTGCGGCTTTGCAGTTAACTGTCCACAGACGTAACAAAAATGATTTCGGTCATTGACACAGCAGCGTCTATCAGCCATGATCAAGAGATCAATTAAGGAAATAAAGCTCTCAATCGGTTATCAGCAGCAGGTGGGTAACATGGTCAAGAGGACTTCATTTCGACGATTACATGGAGTGAATGGATCAATCGCGGGCGAGCATTCGATGCAGGAAGCACACTGCTTATCTGAAATGAACAACTGAAATTAAAAAAAAACCGACGTGATATAAACACTTGGTTTGCATATTCGTAATCAGCTCACTTGGTACTACTACAAAACATCTTATCTGATTTCTGTTATAGAAAGGATGTTGCACAGTTTTATTAGTAGTGCTTGTATTAGTATGAAGTTCGTGGCGCGAGGCATGGCAACTGAATTCACGGCACCTTGTTGCGTATATCTTAGCTGTAAAAATGCAACTGCAGTTAAGCCGAGATGACGCAGGTATGGTAATCTCGGTTGGCTGAACTATAATAACCTTGAAAAAATTTTTGCGGCAATGGCAGTGCAGAAAGACGAAAATGGTCATATATCCACAGGAAAAGTTATCAAAGGAAGGTCTGAACAGTGGGCAGTAAAAAGCAAGCGACTCGAGTACACCATGACAGATAGGATAACAACCACTGATGTGGTCGATACTGAGGCTTTACCCAGAGACTGCATAAATAGAAACATATGCAAATTTTCGATCAGCTGTCCTATACAAGCGATGCTCGCAGAACACAACTGCCCTGGAATGAGAGGCATCAGAGGTCAAGCACTGCGTAGTGGTGCAAGCCATCGCTATCTGATAAGTCTGAACAAAGACAAAACCGACCATGGGGCGCAGTGATGGCAGACGGCAACACCGAAACTAGCCAATTGCCATGACAATATTCGGTGAGCCGCAGGCTTCATTCAATCAACAAGGCAGAAAGCGGCAAGCAGAGCCTAGTCAACACGTAGGCTGGGAAAAATAAACTGACGATGTAGTGTGACAACAGAGGGTCTGTTACTAGATCTCATCTGGAAGAGAACCGAATCCAGCTCGGTCAAATCAGCAAGATATTATCAGTGATAAAACGAGGCGCGTACAAGGTAAAAGAACGATTGCAGGTGGGGATACGAATAGAGGGAAAGACCAAACAAACAGAATGATAAAAATACAAACGAAACGAATTATCAAAAGGCAAAAGCAGATGGAAAGGCAAACAGCTAGGAGCAACAAAGTAACCGCAACAATGATGTTGAGTTTGTAAATGCACCATGCCTGAACCTCGAGTAGACCTCAACCATGGTTTCGACCAATATTCTTAGAGGTATCTATCATGCTATTAAACGATGCAACGGAAGCTTCATACAAGCAGTTGCAGAGTTCAAGGACAAAAAAGAGATTGCAAAAGTGATCTAGCCCAAAAAGCAGTAGTCTAGCAAGGTACCAAAGTTTGCCACCGAAGAGCAACCGATGAAGTGCAGCATTAACCGCCGGATGTTTCAGCCAAATGCACCTGCGTCACTCATACAATGGCACCATCAGATAAGGGGACATGATTCGTTACTACCGGTTGCCAAAAATTACTAGCATCTTAATATCTTCATGCTATGTCCCTGAGAACAGAACAGCAGTGCTTGGACTGTTGTGTCGCAAATGCTAACCTTGGTCGACGCACAGATATCTCATTGTATGCATAAAAACTGGAGGCCGAGAGAGTCAACATAAACTTCACTGGTTGGAACAACAAAGGTGACACAGCTGTCAAGACAAGTGAACTGATTGTTGCAGTTGTGAGAATTGAGGGTGTTAACCCAGCTGGCTTGCCGAACAACCTCCACGTGGTGTCAGCTGGGTGGTTCGGGATTTTCTCGTTCCAGCAAATGGTTCGGTGGCAGTGTTTAAGGACGTGGTGGGTTTTCGCCTGACAAGCGTTCTTCCTATAAAAACCACATACGTCCGTTTAACAACACTGGGACGTGGCGGACGTGACTCGCCACTGAGTAAAGTCACTGCCCCTTGCTTCATCAAGCCAAACCATTGTATTCCAACAACTTTGTGCTGTGATTCTGGGGAGCATTGGGCCCCAGTTTGACAAAGAAACAAACGAAAAGGGAATGAACTGAGCAATCAGTCACCGGCTCCCAATGGGCGCGATTCCCTGAATTCGCTCCGTTGCCTTGCGTGCAGGCTATTCAGCCAAATGCTCGGGTGGTGTCCCCTAAGTCGACACCCTGCTTTGGCTTGGACAACCGGGTAGTATCTCGCCCTTTGACGAAACCATGGACTTTAATGTGTTATGGGGTGTTTCCTTTCACAATTTCTGTACCTTTTTTGTGTTCCATGGTTTCTGATGGCTCTATGTCTAGTCATAGACTGTTGAAAAATATATGTATATACATACCCAGCCTATGGTGCGCTGAGGCTGGTGGTGGCTAGATCCTGACAGATGGTCTACCCACTGCTGCTACTGTTGCGCCATAGTCTCATGTCCTGGGCGCCTCCACGTGGCGACCGCTGGGTGGGAGTTAGGTTTCGCCCTTCTCCCTGCTAAGATCCAGGACACCAATCCGCATGAGTCAGCTAACTGACCATGTGCTAGACCCGCTGCCTTTCGGGTGTTCATTTAATCGAAGGCTTTGGCTGAGGACCCGAGTCGTTCTCCTGTCAGGATTGGGCGCCCTGGCAGTATCCTAGTCCATCCTCTCCGGAGGTTAGGAAGTGGTCGATGGACCACTTCCCATAAAACCTAGCCATGGGAGATAACAGGTTACGGGTTATATTCTCAATGCTCGATTGGCGTAGAGCACGAGTGCCACGCATTGTCTCTGACGGTGGGAGGACACCTCCGGGTGTTCAATGGTTTGCTACTGCCCGCCTCAAGCCAGGCAGCCCCTGGTCAAATTGGTGCAAACCCGCCAAAAACCCACCTA